CCCCCCCCCCCTTAGTCCCCTTAGTCCCTTATTTCAATTTGAAATCAAGTGCTCTTTTTTCCGTTTAAATTCAGATTGAAATTAAATAACCCATAGTATGAAAATCACTATGGTACCAGTAAAAACAATTTTTCTCGACACAAGGAAGGAAAAAGAAAAAAAGCGATGCGTAACTTTGTAACACATGGTATGATGTGTCGAATGAGATAAAATATTTGCTTCCATCGTTTACACAGAAAAACTAGATGGGCTTACAAAATCGACCTATGCGCAGCTCAGCTGGCCTGATTTAAAGCGTCACCACCAATAGAGTTTTGTGTCTAGAGTCGATTTAACGACTTGTCTGTAATCAGTTTTTCATGCTTAATCTGAAAAAATTATTTTCAGAAGCTGAAAATAAGAGTAAAGTAGAAAATTTTGTTCATTTTCAAAAAAGATGTGATTTTTTAAGGAAAAAATATTCTTTGAGTATTTCGTATTTTTCGACCGGAAGGAAGTATTCACTAAGGCTAAAAAGTAGATATTCGTGATCAGCAGCTCAAGCTCTATCAGATGATGTAAAAAAAAGCCGAAAAAAAATTTTTACTTGAATTTCGCATTACGGGCACCTTACATAATCGGAGAAAAAGATGTTCCGATGTTTCCACTGTAGTTTGGATAGCGGATGGTTTCAAAGTAAAGTGGTGAATAATTAAGTCTTGGCAGATTTGCTTGAATTTACAAGACGGACATTGAAGTATTGATTTCATCAGTAATAGTGCCTGATATACCTCATTTTGTTGAATTTCGTGATATCCATATAGAATTCCATAACAAGAGTAGTAGGTACTCGAACTTCTCGTTGTTGGGACCATGAAAATCAAGAAATGTCTCACATTTCCAATTTTTGGATAATTGGTAGTACTCTGCTGCGCTACTAATTTGTCTTTGAAACGTCCATATAGAGCCACACAGACTTCAATCGGTTTGATTTAATACTATGAGCAATTTTTTATTTGATCGGAATTTAATTTCGATAGTTTGAGGAATGAGGGACGAGAGTGAGAAGATTATGAAGAGAAAGTCTCGACTAGTTTTTATCTTCTCCCAATGATTAGGACTGGTTTGAATTTCGTCGTTGTTGCCCTTCCATAGAATATTGTACATTTGCTAAAGTTTTCATGTGCGCGTTTCTTTAAAAATTCGAATGTATCTATAATTAGATCGCACAGGAGGCTTCTTTATGACCAGTCGATGTTCGAGTTACAGATATGTTGGTCTTCCAATGGTCAGTTGAATATCTTTTAAAAGGAAGCCATCGTAACTGTAGTATTTTTTCCATAACCAGAGAAATTCTCGGCAACATTCTATCGTTAGATCACTGTCAAATGTGTAATGGACAATTAATTGTTTTCAATCTCAAGGTTTTTTCTGTGGAACACAGTGGTAGACATTGTTTATTTGTTTTTGACGTTGTCGAGTTGCTTGATAAAGAACTCTGTTATGCATTTAAATTTTAATTGATGACCACTTGGAATTAATGTTTATTCAAATTTTAAACGGTCTTTATCAAAATATTTTACTGTAGAACAAAAATCAAACAGCACGAAGTAAATCACTATAGGTCATATATTAAGAAAATTGATTGATGATGCTCTTGTAAAAAAATATTTACATAGAAATTGACCTAATGCTTTCATGGTATCTTATCGTGGTACCATCTGATACGAATCAGTAATATCAAAAGTGACAAAGTATGTTATTCTAATTATCGAACAACACCAATACCACTTATATAAGTTGTTTTGTCGAGCTAATTTAAGATAGAAAAGAACTAGTAAATCATTGAAATATTTTGAAATTCCTATGGCTGGAGAATCTTTGAAATGGCAATAACTAGTCATAATGATATGTTCACTTGTTTTATAAAACGTAAGAATCAGTGATGATGACATATATGATCATCTCTACAAAATTTACCTTATGCGATGATTCTGGAATAAAATGTAAATAAGATAATTCACATCTTATACGATTAGGAATAATATGACATAAGCGCAAGTCTTTTTCATATAGTTAGTAGACGCCTTTCTTTCAAATTCTTTACTATACATACAGTGGATGCTCACCAGCATTGCACTTAGAAAGTAGGATATTTTTCAAATCTTTGATTTTCCTTATTTGAAACTTTTGTTCAAAAAACGTATACCTTCTGGAGTTGTAACCTGATTCAATAAGTTTTCAAACCGGCAAAAAGCAGTGATTTAAAAAACAAACATTCGTTTTTTGCTTATGAGGGAACCATTCGAGATGATGCCTTCCGTTTTGACTCATTTATATCTCATTTGATCAAGTATATTCAGATAGTAAAAAGTTCCTAGACGACTTTTCCTCATGGCTCAACTCTAACGTTTGCTTTTTTGTGTCACTCTTATCACTATCGTTGCTTATATTTTGTATCGTACCAAAATCACTTCTATCTTTATATTAGGTACTAAAAGTTCTTATTATAAGAAAGAAACTCGGTTACTGTAAACACGAGTGTTTTCTACATTATGAAAAATTAGAAAAAAGATATCTATCATTATTCATTTTTCTTTTTACTTTTCGATATAGTAAATGATAAAACAAGTTTAGTTCATAAGTGAAAGACCTCTGCATGACGAATGGGAGACAAGATTTACTCTAACGATAATATTCGATAGAGTGAATGGTCAATATCTCACAAATCAAATAATATCTTTGTTTTGTGGTTATCATTAGACGTAGACTCCAGGAAAAAGCTCCTATGTTGTTCCTTACAATAGAAAATTGTGTAACTGAGTGATAGATGAAGCTAGCAGACTGAATTGTTTAGGACAATACATCGACTACTATGTATATTTATGGTAAAAATCTTAGATCTCTATGACTTAGCATGGCTGAGTTATGAGTTTTTCAATTTTTCTGGATTTTACAAGAGAATATTAGAAAAAACACCAATAACTTTTGAAGGAAGACCGATGAGGAAAAGTTCTCTGAAACTTTTTATTATCTCGATGTACGTGATCGCATGAGATATAAATGAGTCAAATAGAAAGGTGTATAACCGCGGATGGTTCCTTCGTTATATTTACGATTCTTCGAGACGAAATCACATATACTGAAGATTCTATTGCGTTTTTTGCAAAATAAACTTAAGTTTAGTTTCTGACAAAATATCAGTGCATTAAGTGAAGAGTTCTAGTCCACGTACCAATTTTGATGGTGCTTTGTAAAGCGTTAAAAATGATATTTTGAAGCAACATTGCTTTAGACAATTTTTTAGACCGATAAAAATCGGCTAGGACCGGTCAGAATATGTACAAAACAATTTCAAATAACAAGTTAACCATATCTTCTGAACAGTCCGATACATAATCATAGGATAAACTTCCTCTGTAGCAAGTAAATAATTGCTCATTACTCTCGATTAGTTTGTCTAAAATATTTTTAAGAATGCCAATACTTGTTCAGAACTAAGAAGTACAATATGTGCTATAATATTTCGGATTTTAAAGAGATTCGCTAGAAGACTAGCATTTACAAAGTTATATGAGTTCAACATTTTAGTCCTATTACGAATTGGAGTGTCATTTCTATGTAGGTGACCGTAAAATACATAAAATATAATATGATAATCTTTCGCGAAAATATCATAAAATCGTAGCGAACACATGAGTCGTATGATAAGGTTGCTTCGCAGCAGATGAGTTTGATAACTGATTTAATAAAAGTCAAGCAAAGTAATTACTGCGACTTCGGCTTATTTACATAAAAATGCATGAGATCTTGCCACTTTTATATAAAAACAACTAACGGTCAACTATTTTTCATTTTGTCCAACGATGCTCCGACATGAAAACTCGTTCGTAGATAGATTTCACAATGATGAGGCAACAAATTGATAGACGATTATCAGTCGTCCAGCCTTTTCCAATTCAATTTTTCTGTTGTATTGAAAAAAATACATAGTTAACATTTTATTGATTATATATCAATAGATTATGTTGTGTTATGTCACCGCTGATTATTTAACGCACGCACACACACCGTTTGTAATTAAACAAAGCACTACAGTGACCATTTCTAAAGTTGAGCGTCCTGCAGTGCACTCTGCATATATGTTCATCTATGTCATGTGGACCGTTACAACGCCAATCTCCACGTTTAACCATCGGCTTTTTGAAGATATGTTCGCCTGAAAACGAGAATCAGTTAGTCATACACCTATATATTATAGATTCTACATACCGTTGCCAGCACCACTATCCAATACAACACTCTGAGTAGCAATCCACAAAGCGAATATGAATACAACAAAAAGCAGTAGTTTTGAGCTCATTATTCCTAAAAAATGAAAACATATTATTCCATAATCCCTTGGTTTATGTTCTTACTTTGGATAAAATGTTTGTTGGTTAGTTTAGAATGATATTGAAGACTAATGTGAAAATTTCGATTAATCGAAAAGCTTTATATAGATCATGGTTTACTGTTACATCCGACTGGTTATTTTGCCAGATGGTCATCTTCACATATCTCACAAACCATTTTTTTGTAAAAGACTGGGAAGTATTGCAAAGAAGTGACACATCATTTTTCCCACAAAGATATATGACATTTCTTTATAATGTTTCGTATCATGTTCTGATTGCACAGTTATTTTGTAAATTGGAAAGAACCAGAAAAAAAAAGCCTACACATGAGAGAAAAACTGATAAACGAAAAGATAAGGAAATATTCATCAAAACATGTTTCATTCTTTCTTGGTTTAATGAAGACAACTTTTCGTGTGCTACATGCAAACGAAAGTTAGAATTCAGAAAGAATAGATACAAATTTAAAATAACCGATTCTATACTTTTCTTGACGACCATTATACTGAAATTATATCGATAAAGAGAGATGAGAGTCGTCTGAAAAGTTTTTTTTTTTTAGATATAACGATCAGATTTTGTTAGACGACGAAGCTTTCTTCAAAATTCAATATCTAGAAAAGCTAATTTCATTCAACCTAATACTGGTCATCTTACATCATGCTAAAAAGAAAAACACTGGTTCTATCAGCATAACGATATAGAGACCTGCATCTCCGTGGCAACCATACCCGACGGCGCTGCAGTCAACGTGAGAGTGTGGGTGTGGATGTGGATGTGTGAGTGTGGGTGTGTAGGGTGTGAGTGTGGGTGTGGGTGTGGATGGGGTGGGTATGGGTGTGGATGGGGTGGGTGTGGGTGTGGATTGTGGGTGTGGGTGTGGATATGAACGTGAGAGAAGGCACCCACACCCACACCCATATCCCCACACCCACACCCATATCCCCACACCCACACCCACGC